GTATTTGATGATACCAAATTGCTTTCATTTACATCATTTATTCATTCATAACTACAACGATGTATTGCACATATCTGATTGTCTTCAAAATTTTTGAAAAAGCTTTCATGATGAGTCACTGCAATGGATACAAGTTAAGAAAAAAACAAGAAATATTAGTTATTTGATAGCAATTACATGATCCAAAACTACTTAAACTATGTTACATAATGAAACAAAAATTAAAAGAAAACTTACGTTTATCTTAGATTTCACTAAGTATTTTTGTGCATTGAATTCTGTCTTTATGGTACGTCGAATGCAATCCTCTCCTATTGGGCAATCCTTGTACTTGAATCCTATCTACATAGTCAATAACAAGATTAATGTTTTAAATAAAAATTTAGATAATAATGTTAAGTAAAGAATCTCGTACCAGTGCAGTCCTAAAGATATTAGTTTTTATTTTCTCATCTTGAGATTGAAAATTTGGTGCATCAAGATTTGCAAACCTCCGTACTGCGCATCGTACCGAACAACGAAAAAATTGAGTATTTGGGCCAGCTATAGTCTTAGAAATTTCATCAAACTCGAGACATAAACTTGTTTGCCGAATTTTCTTATGCTGCCAACCTGCCATTGAAATATAATACAAAAACATTATATTTAAAGAAGATTCAGTAGAATTAAATTCGTAACATGTTGGCGTATATCTATTTAACAAAAAAAATAGTAAAAAATTTGACCTGAATGAGCACCGCTATTAGCTCCTTGTGCGGCCATCTATATTACAGAAGGTAAACCATTTAAACTTAGAAACTATTAAAAAAAATAAAAGGTAAACTCATTATGACATTAAAGTGAATAATCATTCACACAAAAAAAAAAATTATAAGAACCCTGAAACATGACTTGAAGATGAAATTTTATTAATCATATACCAAAAGAATTTTGTCTGGCAAAAAGGCTAGTACAAGTGCAATTGATAACGTACCACCATCTATTTGGCCACAAACATTGAAACCAAATTCAATAACCACAACTAATAAAATTTTGGTAACCATACATGCGACATTTCCTTTAAAGCCTATGGGGATATCTTTGGTTCAATGAAACTCAGATCTTCCTCCTCCTCTTCTTCTTCTCCAGGAAGTTCATTCAAATCAAAATTTCGATCAGCAAGTAGGTTTAAATCAAAGTTAAGTGGTTTCTTCTTTTCTTCCTCATTAAGAAGCTTTTCGGTTTGATGTTTTGTCATCTCCTTTTCAGCATTCATCTTCTAATTTGACAAAACTCTGAAATTGGATTATATTTACTTACGTCAGTATTGCAACTTTATAAGACTCACAACTTTATAATCCCTATGTCCCATAAAACTATAATATTATCACATTAATTCTTTTATCAACACTAAACTGACCCATTATGCATGAGCAAAACATCATAAAAAGAACTCCGATAATCCAAGAAAACCATTTGACATGAGTGAATCGTCTATTACACTTTATAAAACAAGGATGGTTACGGAATAGTCAGAATCAAATAATAAACAAAAACATGTGATAATTTCATTATACGATCACTAAATATTTGTAATCAAACAAAATTCACTATTGCAATCAAATAAAAGTATCAATATGCAGAGTTTTCACAATAAAGAGATATAAAAAGATAATCTTGTAGCTTTTGCATTGAGGCATTACTATTATTACTAATAAAGTAAAGAGATTCTACGATTTTATTTGACAAACATATGAAACCTAAGAATTTCCAATGAGAATTAATCAAACAAATCCGTCTCTCTCATTTTACACTTTAGAATATGTCCATAAGCTAAACAAGCCAATCCGTGTCTCTCATTAATCAAACCAATCCGTTTTCTGATTTCTATTAGTTAACGTCAAAACTTAGCCAAAAGGTTAAGAAGCTCAAACAAAAAAAAAAACCATTGAAGCGAATCCATAATTTCTTAATCATTTCTTGCCCTTTACAAAACCCACAAAATATATATTATCTTTTGCAATTAAAAGAAGATATATAAATAGAAGCAAAAATTCCGGATCCTAAATCACATTGAATGAATACGGTCGTAGCAAAGAACGCGAGATTGTACCTTGGTTTCGTAACTTTATGTCCAGCAACAAATAATGAGGGTTTGTTCCTTGGTTTGGGTAGCTTTTGGTAGCCAGATCTCATACACAATTTTGTTATATAAAAAAGACAATGAACAAAAACTAAGAAACCACGGGGATGAAGTTAAACAGCACCTAGTTTGGTGAAGGTAGTTACGGTAATGGGGAGGAGTTATCCATATCCTTCAAAGTGGGGGGAAAAGTTCAGTTACACCAAATTTACCTTAAAAATACAACTTTCAAAGATAAAAGATTATTACTTTATATTATACTACTTGTAAAATAATTTCCTTTTGGCACTTATGCTGCTTGAATTTTCCGATCCGTAATGGAAAAATCGGTCTTTTCATCCCAAAGTTTGGGCAACACCATCCAAAACATCCCAAAATTTAAGAACATGTCATTTACATTCCAAACTTTTTAAAAGCATGTTACATTAGGATATTTGTTAAATTTTTAACTCCAATTAATTAATTAGTGGAGGTACTTTATTCTGTTTCTCCTCCCCCAATTCTTTTAATCATTTAACACGTTCCACTAACTCCCATCTTATAAGAAAATAGCTAAACCTAATTTGGTCTTCACATCATCCATTCTTCCCTTACTTAGAAAAAGAAAAAAAAATCCAACATTCACCTTCTAGATTGATAACAATCATGAGAGGTTTTGTGTGTGTCCTAATTAGAAAGTAAGGCCTATTTTATTTATTTTTTTAAATATGTAGCATCATTATAAAAATTAGTGTTGTAATTGATGCAGGGGCATGCAACTTTTTTACTTGGCATGGACCAAATTTACCAAACGCAAGCATGAAACTTTTTTGACTAAAAGAAATGGGGGAAAAAAACTGAATGAAATATCGCCGTTAATAACTTGAAAAAATTAATAAATGTCCTAATATTACATATTTTTGAAAAGTTTAGGATGAAAATGGCATGCTTTTAAACTTTGGGATGTTTTAGATGGTGTGGCTCAAACCTTAGGATGAAAAGGCCTATTCTCCCGATGGGCAATCCATGCTTTTGGCTCTTACCTGTAATTGTAGTTGATTGATCCATATATTTCTTTTAATCTATACTTGACATATGCTACAACCTCACTATTTACCTGCTTTTGTTTATTTCCAATCACATCTATTTTTACCATTTTTTTTCTTAAGAAAAAGAAATAATTTCAATTTGATTGAATTGGTGTTGTCACTGGCCCCCCATCTGATGGAGTATGTGATAAAATCCAAGCCTAGTTGTAGTGTCAAGCTAGTACTAGTACCATATAAATGTGATCATCCAAACTCTCGATTATTCTCGTGTTCCATTTGGGTTTACATTATAATAAACCATTCATTCACTCTACATATTTTTCGTTTAAAAAAAAAAGTAGTGAGAATACTAAAATGAACATCTCTAATTTAAGAGCACAAACCCACTATTGAACTAAGTCTAGCTTACTAATTAAACAACAAAAGAAAAACAAACAAAACCAGCCACTACGCTCTTTTAGATGCCAAATCCATTTGACAAATTTAAGGTTAAAAAAGAAAAAAAAAAATCTGTTTGTTATATTTTGGCCAACAAAAACACCACCACAACACCACGCTTAACTTCTGAATTTTATTTAATACTATCCTTCCTTCCATTTTTGCCTAACTTCTGGATTTCATTCCCTTCCCTTCCATTTCTGCCTATCTTCTAAATTTCATTTCCTTCCCTTCCCTTCCACATGTCTTAGATTTTCCTAGCAAATCCTAGTAGCATGCTTGTGCGGAAATCGAAGAAGAAAATACTAAGGAATTCGAAAGTAAGAGAGATTGGTCAAGGAGTCATCGATGTTGCTGAATCTCGTAGGCCAACCGAAGCAGAGCTCGAAGGATTAGAAATGGGAGCAGGGGAGTTTGGGGAGGAGCTGAAGCTTAGCCAAAATTCTACTCGATTAGAATTAGCATCACTCGTAAGTAATTCCTATCTAAAGATGAATTTGGAATTCAGTTTAGTTTAGATAAATTTTAGTTAGTTATTTTATGTTTTCAACTATGAAACAATTTGCAGACTTTCAGTTTACGAATTCCTCCATTGCTAGTTTTGAAAACTCAATTTAGTCATTTCTTCTTGTAGCCAAACATATATTGGTTACTCCTACCACTCTGCTATCATTTGTTCCCATTATTTACTCATTATGATTGGGTATTCCATTATCATTCCATAGAAGTACTTGTAAAGGTTTCACCATTTTCTCAATCGTTCTCTTATTTATTAAAAATTGGCCAATGATCCAAGTTAACTTCAAAGACAAATCTTGAGGGTGCACATAATTGTGCGTGGTTAACTGGTAGTAGCTGTTTAGGGAACAACCTTTGCTTAGTTATCTTTCTCTGAGTCAAACTAGGACAATGAGGCTGAGTAGGAAACTAAGATATGAACCTATCTCCACCTCGACTAACCATTCAACTTGCATAACAATAACCATAAAGATCAAGTCAATTTAAATACCAAAAATTCAACTTAAAAGTAAATAATAATGTCATAAAGATCAAGTCGACCACAAACTTTTTTGCAAATATCAAAAAAAAAAAAAAGAGATTACAATTACCCTTAAGCCATACTAAATAAAATAAACTAAAAAATGGTATTCCAATGTGCACTTCACAACTTCTACACCCACTGATGCAGTCTTCTTTCTGATCCAATGTCATAGTCGTTTGCGACAACGAAGATAACCACAAGGAGACAGTTAAACATCTCATCAGAATCTAGTTTGTTGGTTGAGTCACTGCAATAGTTATTTCATTTAAAGAAAGGATCAATTAATTAGGCAATGATGCAGTGTACCTTAAATTGTCATAGAGGTACTAAAATATATTGTAAAGGAATTACGGGTAGCATTCTTTGGAATTCAAAAACTTACATTTTGACTTGGCATGAATTCCATGAGTTTATCAAGTTTCCTTTGCATTGCGGCGACGCTCTCATCGGAGAGCCTCTGACGCTCCTCAAGTTTCTTGTATTCCTCTTTAGAAGCAGCAACTTCTTCAGCTAATAGATCTCTGCTTCTCTCTGCTTCATCAGCTCTTTTTTTTTCCTTCTCAATCTCATACCGACTTTTTTGTAGAGCTATAACTCGCTTCTTCGGTACAGACCGTCCCCGTGCCTGACCGGGAATACCTTTAAGTACTTGTTCACAAACTGCAGCTGGGGTCATACCAATGACGTCTTTCACTCGAATCAATTCAGCCTACAATGAAAATAATTCCACCAAAGAAATATGAACATGATATATCAACATAAGAACTGATAATCTATGAATTAAAACTCAAACTCTTTAGACCGAAATAAATACCTGTTTTTTTTTTCAGCTGCCTCACTAACCCAAGTACCTTTTTTCATATTGTAGTGACCCAGTTTATAAGCACCAACGGAGTCTACATCTTCATTTTCAATTCGCTTTTGAAATAATTAATCAAATTAGGAGCACCATGAATCTAGTAAAAAAACTAAAGCTGATGTGAAGTAATGCTTGATTCGTACCATTTCTTCTATCATTCTAGCAATAGATTTGGTTCCATTAGCATTTGTGATGGTAAGATGTGCACGATTAGCCTTGTTTCTTGTACATAGTTTCTACCAAACACAAGTGTAAGAATGATTCATCTTTTGAATAACTATTTAAGAAGAAATTAACATAAATAAATCATTAATTGTGACGGACACATGTGGCCAAACCTTGTAGGAATCACTGTCAAATTTATTGCAAATTTCATCCCAGTTATGAGCATCCATTCCAGTTGGGACATTCATCAATGCCTCTTCCTTGGATCAATGTTCCTTGTAAAATTTATGCAATTTATGCTTATAATTCTTGAACTGAAAAATCAATTGCTTAGTGATGCATTCTCTTGCTAAATCCCCATCTTCATATTCGAATCCCACCTGCATGGATGCATAATTTGATGTCATTAACATAAAGACATTACACTATTTGATTTAGTAATATGGTAGGAACAACTTGATAAAATACCGATGCATTCTTAATGATGGCATCTTTCAGGTTATTATGTTGTGATTGGAAATTCTCTAAAGTGAAGTCAGCCATCTTGCCCACGACACATCCCAATTCAGTGATGAAGTGCTGTGAACCTGGGCCAATTATACGGATTGCTGTTTCATCAAGCTGAACGACTTGAGTTATGTTGGCATCCCTTTTCTCGGCTAAGCTAATATTTCTGGTATTTTTCCTCTTTGCCAAAGCTCCTGACAATATTCAGCCACAATCACAATATATTATATATTTTACCAGTGCTGAAATTCCTTGTATGAATTTGACAAACATACTTATAAACAAATAATTTATTAACAACACATACCTTTTGATGGCATTTTGTTTGAAACGTGATCATTGATTTGCTCATATTCCTCATCCAGAATGGTCTCAATCGTTTCTAAGGCAGGTTGTTTTTCATAGGCAGTTGATGCAATTGTTGATGCAAGTGGGTGCTTCAAACCAACACTTCTCTTCAATGTTTTTGTAGATGATTGTACATTAGTATGTGGTTCTTCATTTATCTCTAGGTCTTCATCTCTCAAGCTAAAAGAATGATTTGATGATGGAGTGTTTTGTACACGTTTCCCTATTATGCTTCTGTTTTGTTCAGAGTTGGTGATTGTGAGTCCGATTTTACGTTTTCCCGGTCCAGACATCTACATTCAACAAACATCACCATAGTTTTAACACACTTATAACACATGATTGCAATAGATTAACAAATTAAGTCTACACATGATGTGAAAGTGGGAGTTAAAACCATACCTTTCTGGTTGTTCAAATCCTTCTCGTTGTCATTTCTTGTATACCTGAAATATTCATCTAAAAAAATCAGGAAAACGCATCAAAGAAAGAAAAGATATATGAGTTGCTAAGCAAAAAGAAATCAAAGTCTAATACTATTAGTAATATAAAGAGTCGAACTATGCTCTCAACCTCAACTTCCCCACTCACTATTGATTGACAAGCGTGGGAGAGAATATATAATGAGCATCATTGAGCTTTATCTCCTCAAAGATATACTTTGGCCTTTTATCTTTTTGCAGGAAAATGAAAATTTTACATCGTGTATCTCTTCTCAGTGTGTTTTGCGCCAAATTTAATTTCCCTCCAAAGATGTGAACTTGTTTTCCCTCCATTAATTTTATTTAAATGTCATCCATGATCTTGATTCCATTTGTCCCATCAGTTCTGTGTACTTAATTTCCCTCCAATCACTTTACGCACGTATCCATTATCATCTTCTTTTTCCTACCTTTTCTTTTGCGCGTAAAACAAATTATACATCAAATAGACATCTTCTTCTTATGGTATTTTATATTCGTTTTACTTCCAGAAAAGTAAACATAGTTTACCACATATAAGAAGTAAAATAACTACTAACTAAACAAGAGTTTTGTGGAAAATTAATTGAAAGTTTAAAACAATGGGTAGAATTTTTTTTTCAATTAAATTCGTCTATTCACATGGCTAGAAAAGATTTTTCTTTTTATATTGAATTTGAAACATAGTATAAGTTTACATTTGGTAATTAAAAAGTAAAAACCAAACACTGAAACTTCACGCAGGATAAAAATTTGTATTTGTTTCTATAAAATACAAACTAAAAAAATCAGCTTTTTTTTTTTTTTTGCAAAGTACATCATTTTTCTTTCACACGATAACTTCTATCAAAAAAGTTGCGAAACCCAGTGAAGAAGCACTCTCAAAAATCAGTCCAAATATCATCATCATCTATATAGAATCATCCAAGTAAGTTAGTTTTGTGATTTCCATGTATATATAATTTATTTTTAATAATTATAGTTCTCAAATTCATTGCGTAGAAAGTTTAAGTAATTAGTCTAAAAAAGATGGCCACCACGTGTTTGTGGTTATACCCGACTAGAGAATATGTCAAGAAAAGTATAGTGAATTAGATCGATTACACAAATAAAGATTAAACTCTTTTAACATTAACATAGTTGTATCGCTAAATTTAACACTTTGACTAAGATTTTTATGTCTTATTTGAAATCTAACTTGATGTTTTTCTTGACTATGTTTTTATTGGATTGAACTATTTCAGGCTATGGATAAGAGTTGGATGCAGATAAAAGATAGAACGGATGAACGTTATATAAAAGGTGTGAAGGAATTTCTTGAATTTGCTTTTACTAATGGGGATGATTCGAGTACAATTCCTTGCCCTTGTAAAAAGTGCAACAATTTCCTTGATTACACGAAAGAGGTTGTTGAGAAGCATTTGCTAATTAGGGGCATTCGAACTAGTTATGTTAAGTGGGTGTACCATGGTGAACCAGAGACAACTAATATTGGTGGAGGGTGTTCACTAGAGGAGGATGGTGACTACTTAGAAGAAATGTAAATGATTTTGGATATGCTACTTTTGGAGATAATTGGATGAGTGATGATATTGATCAAGTTGATATTGATGGAGGAGATGCCGATGGAATTATGAGATTATTGGAAGAAACCAAGAAGGAACTTTACCCAGGATGCAAAAACTATACCAAATTATCTTTCATTGTCACCTTGCTTCATATAAAGACTACGAATGGTTGGACAAATAATTCTTTTGATGTGTTGCTGGGAGTATTCAATAAAGTTCTTCCTGTTGAAGCTTCAATACCACCATCATACTATGAAGCAAAAAAGATAATCCAAGAACTGGGTTTCAAATATGAAAAGATACATGCATGTGTCAATGATTGTGTTCTTTATCGTAAAGAGTATGAGCACCACACCATTTGCCCGAATAAAAAATGCCAAGAACCATGGTATCAATCAGAGAATTCAAAAGTGCCTCGTAAAGTGTTTCGATATTTTCCTTTGAAGTCGAGACTTCGTACATTTTTCATGAACAAGCAAGTGGCTAGCGATATGCGGTGGCATGAGGAAAAACAGAATCATAAAGATGATAATGTCATGCGGCACCCTGCAGATAGTGAAGCATGGAAACACTTTAATATGGGTCCATCCAGATTTTGCAAATGAACCTCGCAACATAAGGTTAGGTCTTGCCTCCGATGGATTCAATCCATTTGATATGAGTAATCCATATACGATTTGGCCTGTGTTTCTTGTCCCTTATAATTTGCCACCATGGAAATGCATGAAAGATCAATTTTCAATTATGTCAATGTTAATTCCTGGCCCTAAATCTTCCGGAAAGGATATTGATGTATATTTACAACTTTTGATTGATGAGTTAATTGAGTTGTGGAATGGAGTTGAAGCTTATGATGCTTCTAAAAGGGAACGTTTCACATTGCGTGCTGCATTACTATGGACAATTAATGACTTCCCTGCTTATGCTATGCTTTCTGGTTGGAGAACCCAAGGATACTCTGCATGCCCAATATGCATGAATGATTCAACTTGTAAATGGCTGGAGAATAGTGGGAAAGTATGTTACATGGGCCACCGTAGGTTCTTACCGAAAAATCATCGTTGGCGAAAGGAAAAAAATGCATTTGATGGAGCAATAGATGTCAGAGATCTAGTGTTACTCAAGTCTTGACATGAAGTGCAACAGGAATTGGAAACTCTTTTAGATGAGTTTCCTACACCAGGAAAGGGAAAAAAGAAGGATCATGAACAACAACGTAAGAGGAAGCGGCAGCAAAAGCAAAAAATTAATGATATTGTGAAATGGACTAAGAGAAGTGTCTTCTTCGAGTTGCCATATTGGTCGGATTTGAAAGTGAGACATAACATTGACATTATGCATGTAATTAAAAATGTAGCTGAGAGTTTGGTTGGTACAATCATGGACATTCCTGGTAAAACAAAGGACACCTAGAAATCTGGAAAGGACTTGAAGGATCTAAAACTTAAAAAGGATCTGCATTTGAGAGAAAACGGCACTTCTTATGTGATGCTCATGGCGTCTTACCATCTAGCCAAAGAGGAGCGGGCAAAAGTAGTTGAGTTCATGTCATCAATCAAGTACCCAGATGGATTCGCTTTGAATATCTCCCGCTGCATAAAAGGTGCAGAGTTTCAAATATCTGGTATGAAAAGTCATGATTTTCATATTTTAATTCAAAGAGTTCTAAGTAGCAATTCGAGGTTGTTTGACAAAAGAAGTTCGACAAATAATATATGGACTTAGCGCTTTTGTCACCACATTGTGCTCAAGGACATCTTATCGGGATCTTTTAGAAGTAGAAGAGAAAAACATTGCAATCATATTGTGCAAAATGGAGAAATTATTCCCTCCATCTTTTTTCGACATAATGGTGCATCTTTTGGTTCACTTACCTTTAGAAACAAAGATCGCTGGTCCAGCACAGTTTCGATGGATGTATCCCTTTGAGAGGTATGTTTTTTTAATTATTAGATTGTGTTATTATTTTTTTTTTGTTTCACTGTTTTATACAGCTTATTCAAATTTTTTAATTAGGAAAATGAGGACTTTGAAGGGATACATCAATAATAATGCTCGACCTGAAGGTTGCATTGCTGAACGGTATCTAGCTAAGGAATGTATGACTTTTTGCTCGATGTATATGAACGACGTTGACACTACATTCAAAAGAGTTGAGTGGAACAATGAAAGGCTAGCATCTGGGGAAAAATATGTTGTATTCTCAGGCACAGGACGCCCATTTGGTGCAACAAAACTAGGAGTCTTGACTGAGTCGGAATTAGCCAAAATACACTCATACGTGCTAAACAATTTTTATGAGGTCGAAGAGTATGCCTTGTGAATAAACTTTATATTTTTGCCATAATAATTTTTCTTTTTTGTAATTTTAATTCCTTACATAAGTTCATAACCTTGTGTCATATTAATTCGGGGAGCATAAAGAAAAGCTCGAAGAAGAGAATTTCGCAAACATAGATCAAAGGCATGAACAAGAATTTCCTTTTTGGTTTCGCCATCGTGTAAGGCAAATTACTTACAGTTTTGTTTACTTTTAAATATTAGTTGCATGCATGTCTTGTTACGTAGAAGAATTTTTATTTTTTTTTAATTTTTATAGATACAATCTTTAAGCACTACATGCGATGAAGAAATGCGATCCTTAGCAATTGATCGGGTTAGGCATTACACTGTTGCATGGTGAATGGATATAGATTCCACACTGAATCCCGTGAAAGGGAGCGGAAGACGCAAAACAGTGGGGTGGTTGTTCAAGGTATGCATGGGAATAACATGATTGATTTTTATGGCATTCTACAAGATATATTGAAGTTGAGTATCTCATTGGAAAAAGGAAATTGATTGTATTCAAGTGCGCTTGGTTTAATATGGGAGATTCATCTGGTATGCAAACTGATAAAGAGTGAGGGATGATCAGTGTGAATTTTTCCAAGAAATGGTACAAGGACCAACCTTATATTCTTGCAACACAGGCCAAACAAACTTTCTATATGAGAGATCTTAAGATTGGTGGTAATTGGTTTGTTGTCCAGAAATTTAATCCTCGAAACTCTTACGATCTTCCAGACCCCGAGGATGAGAATTTTAGTCACGAAATTGACCAAGAAGAAGAACCAGAAATACATTTGGTGGTTGACTTAGAAGATGTGGAAGATCCAACATCAGGAGTGAATTTACCCTTACAATTGGTCGATTCATCATTTGTTAATGATACATCTCACAAGAAAGATGCAAATGATGCTGATAGTGCTGAATCATCAGGAG